TCCTTTTAATCTACCTTGCATTGCCACCTGCAGCAGTAACTGCAGCAGTAAGTGGACGCATAGCTGTTCCCGCATTTCCTAAGTAAAGTTCGATATCACTCTTCGAATCTATAGAAGCTGGGAATACTCCACCACAACCTTCAACTATAGCACGATTGTTCTCACTGTCATGTTCCACATTAAGCCCTAATTTCTTCAACGCATCAAGCATGTAATTGATATCATCACTGTTCAACAAATTGTCCACTACAGTAGTTCCCTATCAAAATCACAACAAAGTGACCAAAATGAAATCTCTTCAAACTCAAGCCCAAAAAACGCAGATTTGAAGTGAGATTGATTTACCTCAGATAGAGCTGCAAGAAGCAGAATACGATTAGACAGAGATTTCGAGCCTGGAAGCTTAATCAGACCAGAGATTTCTCTAATGGGTTGAAGCACAATCTCCGAAGCTTTCTCTGCCGTGGAAACAGAAGCCATAACCTTAATCGGACGAATCATCATGATCTCACTCTTCTTCTTCAATCCCCAAGACGAAATTGGAAAAGCTTGTCGAGGTTGGTGAGACTTAAGCGAGACCGAAAAAGGAGATTTGCGTTGTTGGGTTTTCGAGAGATTGGAGATAACAAATGGGTTTTGCACGCCATGGCAGATTCGACTAGCTTGCGCCATTGGAGAATGAATTTGCGATTGAAGCAAAATGGAAAATGGGGGGTTTTTTTGAGAAATTGTGTAGAAAAAAGTTGAGAATTTTGATCTTTAAACTCACCTACCCACTCTCTGCCTCTCTCAAATTAACACAAAATTTCAAAATAAAAATTGTTCGTCTAATCAAATTTATAAACTTTTTTTTTTTGTTGGTGTTCTTCGTTTGTGTGTTGACGGCTTTACAAAAAAATCAACACTTTTGGGGGTTTGGAGGGAGTTGGTGAGGAGAGGCATCCATCACCAACCCACCAACTCGTATTCAGGGCTGGTCTGAGCAATTATCATAGCCAATAACAATGTGACACGTGTTGAGTATTTGTGCACGTCAGCAATTCCAGAGAGCAAGTGGTGGTGGGGGCTTTGGGGTTTTTGGTAGGTGAGAGAGATTAGGTCTTCAAGTGGGCCTCGAAGAAGTAATTGGGCCTTTTTAAGAAAAACCCATGAAAAAAGGAATATGCTTTTTGGGTTAATATGCTAAGTTTATTGTTTTCGAAAACTTTTATAAGCTTCCTATTGGCTGTGAATTATGAAAATTCTAGAAAAGCATTGGTTATAAACTTATAATGATAGTTATTCAAAGATGCATCTATTTACACAGACCCAATTATAAATTTCAGTATCCATTGCAATGCAGTTGAGGATCACATGTTTTTGC